GAGCCATCAACTTAGAATTTTATTGAAAACATTTTGTTCTTTGGTCTATGCTTATCAGTGACAGAAGAGCAAAAGTTAAGTATTACTTGTGCCAAAATTCTTGACCGGCTCCTATCCCTAATTCCCCCTCTAATATCTAAGTCATTTCCTGCCATTTTCAATGCACTCACAAAAACTCATGGAATTTTTAAGTACACTTAAATTATTCCTCTTGTTTTATTGTTCTCTGAAGTTTTTAAGATCCTAAAAATTATAGCTGTATTAATGCGTGCTACTGGGGAATTAAATCAGCCTTATTTACTGAGTTTCTCCTAAATACTCCTTGAAAGTGTACAAATGGTGAAAGAGCTTTAGCAAGCTGCTGGTGTGAGGATACCTCCTGATCTATAGGAAAAAAAAATACACAAATGCAACTTAATTTTTGGCCTCTTCTGGTTCTAGGTGACCACTTTATGTCCCATAACTCTCCCTCTTCACACTCCACTCTCTTGAGTTCTCTGTGATGTAGTTTTCAGTACTTCCTCAGATGATAGCCTAATTGCTGACCACGTTGTCTGTAATGATATATCTAATTTTTATTCAAAGGTCAGTGCCTATCACAGCTTCCTTCACTGGCCCAGAACACACCACATTCTAATTCTTTAAACTATTCATCACCCAAAATTTAGACCGATAATGCCAGACTTACTTATACAAAGTTTTCAAGTTATTCAGGCTCTGAAAATTCAACATGTAAGTGTCAGGAAGCTGAAAACTTTTCAGTTTTTTTCCTCCTGATAAATCATATGATGCTGGAACACCACAGGAAATATAATTGCTTTTCATAATCAAAGTTTCCATGTCAGGCTCTTGATCTTAATTGTTGCCTTTTTGTAAATTCACTCATATTCGGTTTATTTATTTGTAGGATTTCATGTTCTTTGAACATTCACTGGCTGGATTATAACAAGCATGATAATGAAAACAATAAAATATGCAGAACATATTTCAGTAAGTAAAAAGCAAGTTTAAATGATCTCTTTCCCTTTGAAGATGTCTATATTTGACGCTATCTAATTCTTTTTCATTTTCTTCTAGAAATCCCTTGGGCGCTGGACTTTGTTTCTGAATGATTTGAGTATTTGCTTTTTTGTAACAAACTGTTAATTATTATATTTATTAAAACATAATTTAATGAGGCAATTATCTGGTTGTGAATGCATGGTATAGCTAAATACACGATTACTGGCCTGAGCACAAGGTTGTTTTGTGAGATTACGATGCTTTCTTTTTATCCTTTTGAAGTTCTTGCCATGGTAAGCATGAAAGATGAGAACTAAGGCTTGCAGCATCACTGATGAAAATTCAATGTTTAGAGAACACTTTGAAGTTTTTCTGGTACTAAGCCTGGTTACTAATCAAAAGGACTGAATTTCTAAAATATTTTCTCAAAAGTGGGCTCTTTATACTTTGTTTACTAAATTTCTTATTGTAGTAAAATGTTGTGTGTTAGAAAAGTTAAAAGTTGAATAATTAATATATCTAAACATGAGGAGACAGTTCGATGGTATCAATTCATTTCAATGGCAAGAGGTACAGTTACATTCCGTAAGGAAACTAATATTTACAAACCAAAGCATGTCTTAAATACCTTCTGATGCCAGATAACTAAATAACCACATAAAGAAACATCTAAGGTAGTAAAAACAGCAGGACATTTGTCTATTTG